TTTATTAAAAAAATTTAATTAGTTTTTAAATTAAATTTTATTTAAAAAAAAAAAAGTTGTCCATAAACTTTTGTCCACTCTTTATATACTGTATATTATATATTATATATACTGTATATATAGTATATTTTATTATTTTAAATAAAAAAATATTTTTGTTTTTTTATTGTAAATAAATATTAAATACAAAACTTTATTTTATTTTATTTTTTTTTAAGTAGGTAAACACCATTTCTTTATTTCTTTGTATATATAATAGCTTACATTTTAAAAAGAAACAATATCTTTTAGATGCAAAAGTATACAATAAGTTAAATGCTAGCTTGCTTACTCATATAATATTTAACTAGTATAGAAAAGAAAATTTTAAACAATACTAATTGTTAAACAAAAGCTAAATAATAAGTTATATCTATCTACTCAGAAAAAAAAGTTTTTATATTTTGGAAATTGAAAGATAACTAAAACTAAAACTAAGTCAAGTAAATTATAAAATCTATGAAAATAAAGTTTAATCCCTAAAATAATTCTGGCCGGGCTCGTTGTTCCATTTTTTCAGTTCTTTTTAACTTGTTTATATTTCTTTTCTTGACATGAATAGTAAAATATACTTGAAGTTATTTATTATGATGGTTATTGTTGTTATAATGATAATTGGATAGATAAACCAGTTTAAGTCAATTATTATTATTATTGTTGTTGTTGTTGTTATTGTTATTATTAAATTGATAAATCAGTTAAAATTGGTTTTATTATTATGGTTTGAATAATGTAATAAATTTTAATTGAATAGTTGTCAAATGCTGATCAATTGGTGAGAATAAACTGATTTTAATTTTGAAATTGAAAAAGATTATGGATTTTTTTGAATGATGCAATAAGTGATGCCAGGATAGAAAAATATATAAAAATTGTATTGAAACAAATATTAAAACCTATAACTTTGTTTAAGTATTTTTTTTTGAAAAGTGTTTTATAAATATAATGATTATAATAATGTTGATAAGAATGGTTTTTATAATAATAAAGAAGTTTGATTACAAAAGAATCAAAGAATAAAAGTATATCATCACAGGTCTTTTTTTATACAACCGAAGGATAAACAAGACTTTCAACTTGAATAGATTTCAATCAAAGGTTCCATTCCATTGCATCAGTTGTCTTTAGTATTCTTGAGTTCCTAAACTAAGCTCACTTGTTATAAAGAGTATAAAACATTTTTCTTTGATTAAAATTACTATATATAGAAATTTTAAGCAAAATGAACATGATTAAGAGAAAGTAGAACTTTAAAAAGTATCAAACCAATACTAAAGTGATATCAAAATAGTACCAATCTATAGTAAATTTAATATATGGATTGTGACCCACTCATATAAATTTATAGTAAATTTAAGTATTGAACTAATATCAAAATAATATCGAAGTGGTATTGTTAAAAGCTCTAGGAGAGAGTTTTTAAAACTTTATTTAAATAAAATATTTATTGTTATAATATAATTAGAAAAAATGTATTTGTAACCGGTGGTGACTGTAACCGATCATGTGATCACACATGATTATGTGACTACCGTCAATTATATCATAGTGACGCGACAAAATTTTTTTTTACTATCATTAATGACGATCATAATGAACCACGATAATGACAAAACACCGCGGTCTAGTAATGATAATGATAACGGAATCCAGCCCTGCGACGAAATAATGCAGCCTGATAATGGCGAAATTATACATTTGGAAAACTCGACCACGAAGTACTATACTCTTAAAAAAAAC